TAAAAACATACCTTATCGCGGAACCGAATCTCGAAATTCTCATCTGATCAAGATGTGAATACACCGCATGTTTGCCTTCATTTGTTTATGGATTTTCTAAATGTCAAATTTGTTTTTTGATTCATTTATTTATTAATTAATTAATTTATTCAAAAAACAGTAACAACTGTATGTGACGCATGTTCTCATTACATTTACAACTGCCAACAGATATAAAGATCGCACAACAGTAAGCGAGTTATATTAGTAATAATGTAATTATAATTGTTAAATTTCTGTAGTAGATTCAGCCTCGAGCTTCCGAGCTACATGCACGAGAGCAGCGACATTTATTCTTCCAGTGAAACAAACAATTCTTTTTTCTAGTCATCTGTCGCGCGGAACGTTTTTTCTCCGGTTACAGTGGAATAGTATACCGAAATGGACCTTCGGATCAATTTGTTTTACCTGCATTCGGGAAGTGAAAGTATGAGCGTAACGCCCTTGAAAATCGGAAACCTTGCGAATCGAAGGAAATGTTGAAAAGACGAAATCAGAAGTTCAGTAACCTTAAATGTTCTACATATCGACTAGAACGAAAGAAAACGGGAATATTGGCACGTGTCCAGCAGCCGCTACCAGGATTCGGAATGGAGAGGAATTTTGTTTCATTTGCCGAAAGTGTTGAACATCTCTCACTTTGCGGGATTTTTTTTGACTGTCGAACCGATGAAAGAATTTTTGAAAGAAACTTATAATCGTTGGCACAAAGGTCATTATGTTAAAAATATTTTCTTCGCGTGCTTCATTTAGTCTGTGAACCTATTTAAATATTATTACTACCATGCGGCGTTGACAAAATATGAACAAAGAGAAGTTATTATTTTTTTTCTTAAAAATGTTATTTTTATAATAAAAATAATTCTCAAATAAAATTATTACAGTATTTTTCATGAGCAGTCAATGTCACGTTTGTTGATAAAGATTCAAAGAGTTGATTCACGTAAAAATGGATAAATTTAATTCAGTTTTTTTAACGTTTCCAATTTTTTAAAGTGGAACTTCCACAAGTGTTAATATTAGAAATTCTTTTGATGAGCTGGAAAGAAGGATGATATTTTTGTTTGCTTCCTCACCTTGTCAGACACTGTCACTTGTGAACTTTATTTACTAGGCATCTGATAATCTCTTGCCAGAAATTGAACTATTTTATCGTATAAACAAACTCATAAAAATGTAAAAATGCTGAAAACTATCATAAAATACAATATTGTGTTGTCGCAATAATTAACTGCTATTTCCTGTGAGTAAACTCTTAATTCTGTATCTGTCTAAGATTCGTCTATTGTTATTTCAACTACGCGCATATCCTCCAGTTAAGGATTTGACACTGAAAGTTTTAAATGTATTAATTGAATTTGTTGCGTTTAAATGGAAAATAGTATTCCATATGTCTTTTGTAATACGTATTATTCTGCAGTCAACAGTATCGCATTTTAGCTGTTCTTGTAATGCACACTTGTTCAGTTCTTTCTCGTCGGCAGTGCATCTGCAAGATCGCCAATCGGACGATTCCATTCTGCGCACTTGCATCAAGGCGGCTCCCCACACATTCGGCATTTGCCGAGTAGTGAGCTACCGGTCGCCCAATCTCGATCAACTGATGTGTTCGGCGAATGTTCGCTCCCTTTGATATGTCTAGAAGACCGACACGCGGTGGGTAGGGCGAGCACCGAATGTTTGTCTCTCGGCAAATTGCCAGCAAATCATTCACAGTACTTGGGATTCGGCGAGCGGTTGCTCGCTACTCGACGAATCGCGGAATGTAGAGAGCAGTGCCGGAGCTAGACAATTTTAGACTGGGGGCAATGCTGAAACGTACCCCCTGCTCCCCCTAAAATTTGAAAGTTGTATCTAGATACTAGATGAGATATATATAATAAGTAAATTGTTTCCGTAATAGTAATAAGTAATATAATTTCCGTAATGAGCTTAAAACGCCATAAAAATTTGTTTTGTTTAGGTAGTGTTTAATAAAAACACTTGTTAAATACTTGCAATAATAAATAAGAATTTTAGTAGATCCTATTTTAATGTTAGCGTCATTTGATTAATTGCCTAGATAATTTCATATTATATAGTCAATACCTTATACGTAATGACTATAATATAACTATTTATGGTAAAAAAAATAATTGAAAATTTTATAAAACAAGAGCGACATACAAATTAGAACTTGATAAAACGTAATTCTATTTTTCAATTTTTTAAAATAATTTTTCCCATCGGCCCTATCTTCAGGCCCCTTGACTTGGGGAGCCCCGAGCGATCTTCCGGTCTGCCCAAGCCTAGCGTCGGCACCGGAGTGGGGAGCCGCCTTTATACTAGGATTTATTTAGCCGTGCACTTGACGTAAATCAGCTGTTGACGGTTTCATCCAATCGGGAGCTTGACTTTCTCCATAGTGACGTCACTCTAGAGACACATTGAATGAAACCGCACCAGCTGATTTACGTCAAGTGCACGACTAAATAAATCATATTGTAGGCGCCGCGTCACCGGCTGTTCTTCTTATGCCGCTGCGTCGCACTTGTGACCTGCAGGTGGCTTCTTTGCAGGAGGCTCGCCCCCCGAGTCGGCGCCGGCGGCGGAGGGGGCCGGCGCCAGGGGCGGGGCGGAGAACA